CACTTGCTGGACTTTGCACCGCGGCGTATAACGCGCGGTGTTGGTCAGTCAAATACTCAAAATTATACAGAAAAAAATAGTTTTGGCGCCGACTGGTGAGCGGGGTGGGGTGAATGCGTTACGACGGTCTAGTCTCAAGGTCATAGACGACGGAATACGCGATATAATAACACGTGCCGCGTGGAGTTACAAACTTACAACATACAAACAACATACATGTGAAACTAATATAAGCGTGTTAAAAAAATGGTTGTGTTACACTCACTTAAGTTTATTGAGAACTTTATGTTTTTCTACAAAACAAATTTTAATCATGCAGGTTTTCTAGTAAGAAAATATGTTTAAATTGATTTGAATACAAATTGTGAGTTCACAAATTTGGTTGTTCCAATCCACGAACGTTCGGTAAATCAAAGCTAATTCATAAGTATAGACAATATCTACGTATAAACAAAAATGTATTCGTTATTATTCGGGTTTAATTTATTATATACATTTTAGCTAATCATCTTACCAGTTTAAACGTTTCAAAGCACAATCACAATAAGTATTCTTCTGTTTCTCAGAACTAAAATGATTTTTGTGTTTTACCAATAAATCAAGAGTTATATTTAATGCATGTTAATCGTACATTTCAGTTGAAAAAAACGATGTACTTTCTATGATTCAATAGAAAATTACACACTTAAGTAACCACACAAAACTTGGATACACGATATCAATAAATGATAATTAGGTTATACTACAAAGATTAGTGTGACAGTTGATAAACTAAAATTCCAGAGAACTTAAATAATTTTTCTTCATATCAAAGTATTATTTAAAATATTTTGATATGAAAATAAAACGGCTTCATGTTTACTAAGAAATCGCGTATCCGTAGATATCAGTCTAGATGACAACGATGTGTCTAAAANTTATCAGTCTAGGTGACAACGATATGTCTAAAAACCATTATTTATAAATCTTATCTGACAGTAATCGTCAATAATCGCCGTGTGTCTTTACGAGCCATCATAACCGCTGCAATTAACTACCTGTATTACAAGTCTACCCGTTTTATACATATATTTAGGTAAAAAAAATCAAAACTTTAAAGTGAAATAACATGCAAACTAATCGACTTAAATGAAAAATTCAAACGCTAAAAATTATAAAAAAAAAAACTCTATCAATATATCTAACTAAAAATAT